GACAATCGTATAGGTGCTCCTTTATAAGTAACTATCTGCTTTTCTCTTGCTGCTTTTAATATTCTCTGTCTTTTGCTCTTGGAATTTTAATTATGATATGTCTTGGTGTGGTCCTCTTTGGATTCCTTTTGTTTGGGATTCTCTGTGATTCCTGGACTTGTAAGTCTAATTCTTTCACTAGGTGGGGGAAGTTTTCTGTCACTATTTCTTTCAGTATGTTTTCAATATCTTGCGCTCTATCATCTCTGGGACCCCCATAATTCTGATGTTGGTTCGCTTGAAGTTGTCCCAGAGATTTCTTACATTATCTTCAACTTCTGGATTCTCTTGACTTCTTGCTTCTGCAGAGGAGTATCTTCTGGCTCTTTATGTTCCAAATCTTTGATTTGTTTCTTGTGATCTTCATATCTGTTTTTAGAACTCTGTATATTTTTTTATTTCAGACAATGTATTCTTTATTTCTAGTTGATCCTTTTTCATATCCTCATAGGTCTTGTTTATTTCATTGGCCTTTTCTAGGAAATTCTTGAAAAACCTTATTAAGCGTGGTTTTGAACTCTATATCCACTCGCTTTTTGTCCTCCATTTCTTTCGTTTGTGATGTTTCCTTGTCTTGGCATTTTCACAGCTTCCCTGAATTGGTAGTGTGGCTTTGTGTGCTAAAGGGTCCTATATGGGTCAGTGGGTCAGTCTCCCAATTACCTCAGGTGGGCACTCTTGGTGCCTCTGTTTGTGGACTGTGTGTACAGTCTTGTTGTAGTTAAGTCTTGATTGTTGTTGGTATCACTGGGAGGAACTAACCTCCAGGCTGTAAGGATCAGCTGTGTCTATGCCAGGAAACAGCCTTATTTGACTAGACTTGAAAAATTGCAAAAGCCTCTGTGCTCTGCTTGGATGGGGCGGAGTTTCAGGGTGGAGCCTACAGCCTTGGCTTACCCTTAGCCCCGCCCTATGAGGTTCCTGAGTTTCAGTGTTTGGTATTTTGGTACTCACTGCAAGCACCTCTGAGAGAAAGGTGGCCTTGAATTTCGCCCGCTACCAAATAATCTAGGCTCTCCCCCAATGAGCCCAGAACTGGGGTTCAGTGCAGTTGGAAGTGGGGTTCAGAGCAGTCTGAAGCTTTTGTCTCCTTCCCACTAGGGCAATCCAGCGGCACAGTCAGCAGTCTGTGCGCAATGTGCGTGCCTCCGGGACTTCCTTTCGCAATGTGCGTGCCTCCGGGACTTCCTTTCGCCACTCCCCTGAGTTTCCACCTTACAGCCCACACTCCCTCCGTATGAGCCTGGGTCCCCAGGTATCGCCCAGAATTGGGGTTCAGCAGTCTGGAGCTTTTATCTCCTTCCCGCTAGGGAACACCAGCCAGGCAGTCAGCTGCCCCTCCTCTCCAGCTCGGTCCTCTCCCCACACGCACACTGCATCTCCGTACCTTAGGCTTTTACAGCTCCTCTGATTTCCTTCCGGTTTTCTCTTTCCTTCTAGTTGTAGAATTTTCAGTCAGTCAACTTTCCTGTAGTTCTGGATAATGTCCATTTTGTATTTTAGTTTTTTTTTTAAATTGTTGTGTGAGGCTGCAGTTAGGCATTTACCTGTGCCGCCATCTTGGTTTCTCCCCCCCACCCCCCCTTTTTTTTTCCTTTAAAGAAAGTTTACAAGGGATGAAGTTTGGGAACTTGTCCCCTTCCCCCGAGCACAGTGGGGTCAGTGTCAGCCTGCGGCTCCGGGGAGTCCAGAATGCCAGGCCGCTGCAGCCACGCTCCTTTCGCTCCTTTTCAGCAGCCCCCGAGGTGGGGGCGTATCGGAATCATGCTGGAGCTCAATCAGTCCAGAAACAGACTTTTTACTATAAAACTGACACCATTCAATAACACTTACTCCAATAAAAAGAGATCAAGTCATTACGGAGTATTTTTTTCATTTTAATTTTTTACAAATGACAGGCCTACTCGGTAATTTTATTCAGTTTATTTAAATAAGGATAAGGCTACTTAAAAGACTTTTTACATACAAAAAAATGTACATTACAAGGTTAAACTTTCTGTACTCAATTACAAAACCTGCACGAGCATTTAATAAAAGAGCACACTTAAAAATATGTGAAGTCCCACAGTAGAGAACAGAGGAGGCTCTGACATACATGTGATTTAAGCTACTGGCAGTTTTACTTAATGTAAGTTTTAAAAAGGTCACTGCTATTGAATGAGTCTCTAGATCAGTTTAGAATTGTCTCTGAAAACTTAAGCAACCAAAATATTACTTCAAAAAAATAATTACAATTCTGAGGAACTTGAATATAGCAAAAACACCAGCCTCACGGCGGAAGCTGAACCAGCTTCCCACAGGGCCTGGCTGCGGAGCGTGTGGCACCGCAGCCGCAGCCCCGAGGCCGTGCGCCTGGCACCGGGCTGGCACTCAGAGCTCTCGCGCAGCCCGCTCTCCTGGCACAGGGCGGGCCGGGCGGGCTCCGCCGCAGCGAATGAGCAGGCCCCGCTGAGTGACCACGCCTGAAGCTCAGGCTGTCCAGAAAGGAGGAAGGAGATGAAGGCAAAGAACATGAAAATGTGGGAGAGGAGACACGAGCAAGGAAAACGGGGAACCAAGAGGCGGAGGAAGAAAAGAACAAGACCACCTGGCAAGGGCAGGCAGTGGTCGAGTGCCTGTAACTCCACCTCAGAGGCCACCCTCTGACACCAATGCCATTCGCCTTCCTGCCCCAACAAGAAGCACTGGCTCTCCTGGACTACAGAATCGAGAGCAGCAACAGTAACCTGTGTCAGGAAGCACAGAGGATTCCGAAGTTGCCAGCCATTCAAGGCCTTCTCAGCTCCAAAGCTCACCAAAGCAACACCCCTTCCCGACTCCTGTCCGCCCCTGGCAGGCTCCGGGCAGGCTCGGCGGGCCGCTCCCGCACTCGGAGACGCGGAGGCAGCTCGTCTGCACCGGAAGCCACCGGAAGCCACCGCTCTCCGGGAGGCTGGTGTTTGGGCCACACAGACCCAGCTTAGCTCCTCCACATTTCAAACTCAAAGTAGGTCAAGAACATGCTGCTATATGAGCGCTGGCTCTAAATGTCCATAATATAAACTTCAATTTGAAGCAACAATGTTACACAGTTCAGCTGTTAATACCAACCTACTTTGTAAGTTAAATATACAAATCAAAAATTAATTTTTTGAATAACTAAAAGTAAGTTTCCACTGACTTAAAACTGTCAAATGGCTAATTCTCTCTTAACTAAGAGAGAAATGCAGATGAAAGCAGAAGGAACAACTAAATAAATGTCATTCTACCCTAAAATCTGCACTTTTCAAAATGTCCCTTAACATAGTTTACATCAGCCCTGCAGACAACTGCGTATTTAATGATTCACCATAACATTAACAATTTATGCAACACTCAGATGCATCCACTTTGTCTTATGTGAACAGATGCAGGCTAGAGAGGACAGGACTGAAACCACAGGGTTAAAGTTTCAGTACAGCCTTCACCTGCATGGTGGAATTACTTCTTCCTAAGGCTATTCAATGGCTCCATTAAAATGTTTGTTTTAACAAATCGAAGGAGGAATGAGACTGCTCTAAAAAGTACTGAAAAGACAAACCCCAATTTGAAGATCAATCGTACAAGGGAGAAAGTATAAGGGACAAAGTATCAAATGTTCGCGCACTTGGCTAAAAACACATGGTAGAAAAGTGCACACTGGAACTCAGGAATGTGAGGAATAGCCTTGCTCACGGACTCAGTTATGCAGCTGGAACAAGACCACTCAGCACGCACCTCGGAGATGCCGCGGGACAGCCCTGTGGACAGCGCTCCTGCTGCGCCAGCAGGGACCCGGCCAACTGGCCCCTCTGTGCTGTCACTGGGTCCCGACTTCCGACCTGCCCCTCCTGTGCCGGCCGGTAGGGGTCACACTGAGTTTCCCCCTTCACCACCATGCTATACTCCCGGACTCTCCTAACTTCTACAATTCTTCCTCCTCTTCCTGTTCACTACTTCCTACCAACAGGCACCACCCAACACGATTCCTTCACCTGGAGACTCAGTCTGCCTCAGTAAGCTCCTGGAGGGAGAGGTCTGAGTGGGTGAGCTCAGACTGCTCCTGAGAAGAGTAGGAAGGACAGCTGTGCGACACGAACATCCTGAAGAGTGGGCCTGGGTAACACTGACCAGTCCACTCACGAGAAACCAATTCTGTTCTGACTTCAAGGGAAGGAGCTAATAGTAAGCACTTAGGGAACAGCAAGTTTATCTGAATAGTCTGAGTAGCTTGTTGGCAGCACTGCAAATATGTTTTTCTCGGTGAACTTCAAGAATGAATGGGCAGTATTTACTAAAATACTGTGATGAACTGTTATATTCTTTTGCTTGGGAAAAGAAACACTTCTAAAATATTTGAGTTGTTTTTTTTTTTAAATCTCAAAGTTCTCTAAAGACTGAAACAGATAATGAGGATAATTCCTAAAATTCATCAGATGCTTTATGATACACCAGACTTGTAGCTTCCTGATTTGACTAGGGTCAACATAAACGACTTATAGTAAGCCATTCATTTAAAAAGAAATTCCTTCCGCCCTGGCTAGTGTGGCTCAGCTGGCTGGGCGTCTGCCGTGCAAAGGAAGATTGCTGGTTCAGTTCCAGGCCAGGGCATGTGCCCCAGCTGCGGGCTTGATCCTAGTAGGAGGCTGCAGAGGAGGCAGCCGATTAACATTTCTCTTACATGGATTTTTTTCTCTCTCTCCCTCTCTCTCTAAAATCAATAAAAACATATTTTATTTTTTTTTAAAAAAGATAAATTCTTACCCAATCAGGGAATAAAAGGCAATTTTTTTTCCTTTCAAATGGAGGGAGGAAGGCAGGGAGAGAGGGAGAGACTTTATTCTTTGAACCTAATTTTAAACCTTTAGAAAATTTTCAAAATAATCAAGCTCTCTGTAAATATTGTCAATATATGTGAACTGTTTGAAAACTACAGTTATATTTACATTTTTGGAACCTTTCCTTCATGGCCATGTAACGTGTTGTATCTTCCTCTTTGCTTCTGGGGGTTTCTGGTTATCCTAAAATAACATAAACAGAAATCAGGTTATACTTACAAAAGTGTCAGAGAATTGAATGACTATTTTTAAACCACCAAGGTTTACTACCAACATACACATGGTAGATCCCTGCTGCCATCTAGTGGAGAGATCGTAGATTAGGAAAAAGAGGGCGCCTCCTTGGCTCCCACTTTTCTAGCTGTGGTTCTCAAAGGCGTGCACCTTAGAATCGCCCGGGGCACTCACAAGCATGTCCGCCCGGGGCACTCACAAGCATGTCCGGACCTGGCCTATCCCAGGACCAATCACACGCGATGAGGCTCTGACCCTGACTTTCCCAAGCTCCTGTAGGTGGCCCAAGGGTACTCCGGGTTGGGACCACTTACTGCTCCTGGGCTGCTTCCCCCTGCAGAGCCCATGTCCTCCCTCAATCTCACACTCCAAGATCTTAACAGGAGAACGGATTTCTTTTTTTTTTTATCACACCTCTGAGCCTAGTGGGTAGCTCAGGTGGGTGGAGCATCTATCTACCCACACACCAAAGGGTGGCAGGTTCAATTCCTGATCAGGGCACATATGGGAGGCAACTCATCAATGTTTCTCTCTCCCTCTGATTAAATTAACAGAAAACATGTTTTTGGGTGAGGATTAAAAATAATTAAAACCATAACTCTGAAAGAAAAATTTTGAGAAAACATTTTCTCAAAAAAAAAAAAAAAAAATCCTTGAAGCTCACTCCTCACTGTAGTATTTGAGGGTGGATTCCTCTTCCCATTCCTATCCCCCACTTTCCTGCTAAGGTGACCAGGTTAAGTGTGGAGGCAACATGGTGCCATAAGAGCATGTCCTGGGGCCAGGTGTGAATTCTAACTGCAATCCGGCTGCTTATTAACTCTGCAACCTTGGGCACAAGTTTATTTAAATTATCCAGCCTTTTTCTCATCTGTGAAATGGAAATAACTGTTGTGTCTACATCACAGGATTACTAAAAGGACTCAAGGAACTAATGTAAGAATTTAAGGATGGTTGGATACACAATAGCTTTCTTTTTCTAGGGTCTACTATTTTAGATTGAACTACTCTGAGTTTTGATCCCTTTGACACACAATTTGGAGATAATAAAGCCCAAGTATATACTACAAAAATGTGCTACAGACTGAATGTCTGTGTCCCCTCTCAAAAGTCATATTAAAACGGAGCCCCCAATGTGGTATTTGAAGGCGGGGCCTCCTAAGTAATAGTTAATGGGGGTGGAGCCCTCATGAATAGGACTGATGCTTTTATAAAACAGACCCCAGAGAGGTGCCTGTCCCTCTGCCACGTGAGGTCCCAGACAAGCAACTATGAACCAGGAAGAGGGCTCGCACCAAATCTGCCAGGGCTGTGATTTTGGACTTCCCAGCCTCCAGGGCTGTGAGAAATAACCGCTTGTTGCTTGAGTCATCCAGTCAATGGTACTTTTTGATATACAAAAGTTATAAAAGATAAACAAAAGTTATAAAACTGCTGGGCCTTTACATAATCTCATAAATTGAACTCTAAATAAACTGTGTAACTATATCATATTTGCCAGCATCTAAAATCTTAAGTACAGCAGAACACAACATAGTCGATTCCTCCAAGTGCCCTCTACCCTCCAAGGAAGGGACATTTAAGGGGTAGGGGAGGCAAGTGGTAAATCCTACACTCTAGAGTGGCTTCAGCGAAGTGCAAAACAATGTGACCCTGCACCAATTACTTAACATGCTGAGCCTTGCTAACAAGAGTATTTCTTTCTGCCCTAGCTGGTTTGGCTCAGTGGATAGAGCGTCGGCATGAGTCTAGCATGGGTTTGATTCCGGTCAAGGACACATGCCTGGGTTGCGGGCTTGATCCCCCATGAGCAGGAGGCAGCCAATCAATGATTCTCTCTCATCACTGACGTTTCTCTCTCTCTCCCTCTCCCTTACTCTCTCTTTACACATTTTAAGCAGGAAAAAAACAACTGCGTGTACTTTTAAGAAAGCATCAGTTTATCAACATGGATTTATGAGAAATGAGATGTGAACATCGGACAGATCACGTGAGGGTATCGACCGGCCTGCAGCATGACTACTCAGGGCCCTCGCTCCCTTCGCATGAGCGTGGGACCCGCCCACTCACCGCGGCCTCGGCTTCTTCTTTGGGAGCAGCTCGCTTTAGCTTCACCGGCGTCGTGCCCACGGGGGACAAAGGGCTTTTCCCATGCGCTAAGTCATGGTTCTGTTTAGTGTCATTGTTACTGTGTTCCATCTTATTGTTCACGGGCAAATTGGAAGACAGAATTAGGGGTGACACACTCGAAGAGGAACTGGATAGCTTTCGAAAGGCATTACTGGTAACGCCTGCCTGAGGCGGAGGCTTGAGTCGATCATTGTCCCCATTCTCCGTCTTTCTCACTTTTATGCTTGTACTTGTTGAACTTCCGTCAAACACAATGAGAGGTCTTTTCTTTGACACATCTCCACTGCTGCTCCTGAAATCAAAGACACACCTTCATGAAAGATGCCATCTGGAATGGATGGCAAAGCAGTTACTAGGATGTAAAGTTAAAACAAACAACGACCCCCAAAAATTTACTGAGAAGAAGGATCTATTGTAAGTAGGGCCAGTGGGAAAGAAATTTTCTTTTACTCTCTAAATGAAATAACAATTTTCTGGTGCTTTAGAGTTTAAATATTTGTTGACATGAAATAGTGTTGTTGTACACACAAGAGTGTTATTTTTAAAACATCAATTGACCAACTAACCCTAGAAAGTAGAACAGAATTTCCTAGTAATTAAAAATTCTTTTAATTTGTAAAAATCACCATCTTAGCCGAAACCAGTTTGGCTCAGTGGATAGAGCGTAGGCCTGCAGACTGAAAGGTCCCAGGTTCGATTCTGGTCAAGGGCATGTACCTTGGTTGTGGCACATCCCCAGTAGGGAGTGTGCAAGAGGCAGCTGATAGATGTTTCACTCTCATCGATGTTTCTAACTCTCTATCTCTATCTCCTCCTCTCTGTAAAAAATTAATGAAATATATATTTTTTAAAATCACCATCTTAATGATAGGGTTATCTTGACCATGCACTACTATTTAGAAAGGATAATAAACTACAAAACTATACCAAGATGACCATAGCAGCAGTCTATATGCAACGATGCGGAGCATCCTGCTCCATTCATGAAGGTAGCTTAAGCCAAGGCATTTTCTACAATAACTGGAACTGTAACATCTGTTTGATTTGAATTTTAAAATTCAGCAAGTCTTCATATTTAGCTTCTAAAAAGCTAATTTCACTCTTAATTGTAAAGATAATAAAAGCAATTCATTTGTTCATTATTCTTTATACCTCAAACAACAGATTTATGATAAAAAAAAAAAAAATCTGCCTTTTATCCAAATCCCAGGTGATTAGCAAAATTCACCGACAACCATTTGACAGAAGATGAAAAATAAACCCAATGGAATCCACTGCCACTGCAGGAGGGGAACAGAAGGACTGCGAGCAGGTGCGTCAGCTGTGAGAGTTCAACCTCAGAGCAAGGGGCGCCTTCAGGTCTGAGCAGCACCGCAGTGAAGACTGTCCAGCTCGGTGAGACCAGGCACGTCACAGCACTTCTCCAGAGCTCAATTCTTCCAGAATGAGACAGCAGGCGACTCAGTAATGCTTGGTGATCTTAGATCCTTCCAGCTTTAGTGCTCTGATACTGGAGTCAAATTGTGATTTTTTAAAAAAGATCCTTTCAAAGTGACTGTGAGGGCCTAAAAGAAGCCATCACATGAAATAAAGTATGTCAGGATTGAAAGTTTTGCCTAAGACAGTGGTTGGCAAACTGTGGCTCTTTGGCCCCTTGAGTTTTTAGAAAAGGCCAACTTAAGAGCACCCTAATTAAGTCAATAACAATGTGCCTACCTATATAGTTTAAGTTTAAAAATTTTGGCTTTCAAAAGAAATTTCAATCATTGTACTGTTGATATTTGACTGAGTTTGCTGACCAATGGCCTAGGACAATGTGCCTGAATGTGCAGATAAAGAATACTTTCCCAGTAAGAGTCAAAGGAAGTAAATTAAAGATATGCACAGCATAATCCAAATTTACGAAAGTTGACACTAATATACAGCCTGTACCAATAAGCAACCAGCGAGCTAAATGATGCTCAATCTGAACCGCATGTGTTCCTGATCAAAAGTGGGACTGCACGCTTATTTACTTTCCAAAAGACTCTGAGCACGCATGCCCATTATTCCTCAACTATTCTACTCCTTGGAGAATAACCTCCCTATTGATCATGAGTTTTTCTTCATTCTTCACAACTAGAGAGTAAAACCAGGAATCAGAGTGAGCATCCTGCCCTCTCTCCATCGCTACTGCACTGCCCGTGACAGTTCCTTACCAACAGAAGGCCTCGAAGAAGACTCAGTAATCAAAAACACCCACTTGCCATGTAAGTGGCATAGGGATCTCTGGGTACTTTGTCCTCATTAACTAACCAACCGTACTGATTAATCACATGTACCTTTAAATGGGAAATTCATCTGCTGTGGTTCTATAAACACTTTTCTGGAATTTAAAAATTTGAAATAGTATCCCTGAAGCTGTATGAGACGCTCCATTTCTGTATTACTCAAACACCTTAGAGTCTTGATTCTATTTTTTCTCACAATTCAGCACACGTTGTTGGCCCTGGCTCTGCCTCTAAAATACATCCAGACCCAACCACTTCTTATCAAGTCCAGTTCCACCTCGGCCAGTCACCACCAGCTGTTGTCTGGATCCCTGCAGTCTGCTAAGTGGTTTCCCCGTCCCTCCCCGACCTTCAATCACTTCTCAGCATGGCAGCCAGCATGACCCTGTTAAAACGCACTTCAGATGGTGTCACGACTCTGCTCGGAACCCTCCATTGCCTTCTCAACAGTCCAGACACAGTTCTCACAATGCCTCGCAAAGCTTTCTGTGATCTGACAATCTCCACTCACCCCAGTCAACCTCACCCCCTCGCCCTCTGAATCTCCCCATCCAGCCCGGTGGTCTCCTGTTGTTCGTGGGCACACTCCTGACCCGTTACTGCATTCTGCCTGGAATGCTAGCTTGCTCACTACTCGCTACGTCTCTCTACTGAACTGGCATTTCTCAATGAGGTTGTTCCTGGCCATGTTAACTAAAACTGTAAATCCTCTCACTGTTTTTTCTTCTGTCATGATGTAACATACAATATATTTTACTCAATTTTTTATTATGTTCCTTCATATTAAAATATGAGCAAGAAATTTTGTCAGTTTTATTCATGGTCTATGGACAGTGCCTGGTGCTCAATAAATAGTTGAGTAAATGAAATCCTTTTTACCTAAATTTACCTAGGGAGGGAGAAAAAAGGCAAAATTGTTTAGTTCTAGCCGGAACTGGTTTGGCTCAATGGGTAGAGCGCTGGCCTGCGGACTGAAAGGTCCTGGGTTCGATTCTAGTCAAGGGCACATACCTTGGTTGCGGGCACATCTCCAATGGGGGGTGTGCAGGAGGCAGCTGATTGATGTTTCTCTCTCATCAATGTTTCTAACTCTCTTTCCCTCTCAATTCCTCTCTATAAAAATCAATAAAATATATATTTTTAAAATTGTTTAGTCCTATAAGATGAAAACCAGAAGCATTAAAAAGTACCTTTTAGTCTCGTTTTTTAGTTCATGTTGCTCTCTTTTCTTTTCCATCATTTTCCCCCATCTGTTCTTTGGCAAATCTCTCTGAGGCAATGGTATTGCATGTTGGACATACAGATCAGTAAGATTGTCTTTGTTTATTCTTATATCATTTTCAACCGCTATGTTCTTCTGTGGGAAAGAAAACAAAAATAATTTCAAAACAACATCCTACTTTTAACAACTAACCAACTACCTACCTAACAGGGCAGAACATTACTGCTTAAATAAAAAACTATAAAACCATTGTTACAATTAGACACATGCTTGAGGGTCCTTTATAATACTGAAAAAAAGCAGTATTATAAATAGGTCAAGCTCTGGAAATATTAGTTTCAGCCTCATCTTAAAGGCAAAGGGCACATGGCCTCAGGGTGACGAGCACTGCTGGTGTGCAGCCACCATCCCAGGCAGAAAGAGCATGTCCACCGACATCCCTAATTTATGAAGAGAACAACGAAGGAAAATGAGAATGGAAATGTGGTCATGGGCTCACCTACAATTCTGAAAGGCTTGCAAACGCTTGTGTTTAATAGAACCGACTAAACAAATCCAATCCTTGTCCTCTGTTAAACTTTTTCCAATCCCTTTTTCCCTTAAAAACTTAAAAGCACAATTTTACTCCTTTTCTATCTTATACTAGATGGGCCTTTATTATCCATTTCCACTCTGTATCACTCACTCAGAGATGTGTGGAAACCCTGAGGGTCCTCTGAGACGGCATTCCGGTAGAATGCACTGGCCGGTTAGATAGGGAAGCACTGCTGAGGGGCAGAGGTGCTCCAACTGCGGTCCCTGAACTAGAAGCAAGAACTTGCTCAAAAATGCAGATGTTCAGGCCACGCCTCAGAACTACTGACTCCGACAGAAAGGGGATGAATCTCGCAAATACGTGTTTGAACAAGTCCTGTGGCGACTCTGCTGTGCCTGTTTGAGAAACACAGGCCAAAAGCATAGGGCTTGGTGAGATTAGACAGAGATACAGTCCTGAAGGTTCAAAAACACAAGCAAAACAAAGTATTACACGCAGGACCCCAAGGAAACGTTCAACAATTCTCTACCACTTTGCACAAAACTTATCACTTTTTGTCTTCTTTTTCGTCCACTATCAGCGGCCACAGTAGCCGAAAAAGAGCTACCCTGAGAGCCCCGAACCCCGGACTCTCCTCCTGGCGGATCCCTCACCGCCGTCGCGGAGGGCGAGCCGGAAGCCAGGCCGTGCACCTGCTGCCCTCCCTCCTCTGTGGCCGCGGGGCGCGGGCCATTCCTCCGGTGCCGCCCGGGCCCCGTCCCGTCTCCGCCCCCGCCCCCCTCCCGTCCCTCTCCCTGCTCATCACAGGCCGCGAGGGCCGCCCAGGACTCCTCTTTGCGAGCCCTCAGAGCCCCGGAGGTAAGCCGAACCCCGGGATCCCTGAAGTGCCGGTCGGCTCCTTGGGGGGGGGGGGGGGGTGCGGGGAGGCCGGGTCCGCCGGCGTGGAGTCGCCGGACGGGGAGTGTTCCCGCCAGAGCCGCCCCGGGCCCGGCGCCGACCTGCTCCAGCGTGAGCAGCAGGAACTCCCGCGACAGCAGCTCCGGGTGCAGCAGCAGCTCCGAGTCCGGGCAGCGGCGCCCGCCCGCGTCCCCCGCCATCGCCGTCGCCCGGACCCGCCGGCTTCCCACAAGGCCCCGCGCAGGAAGCATCCCGGAAGTGACGCGTGGGCGGGGCGAGCGTGTCATCCCCGGGCGCCGCGCGGGCGCTCCGGCGGGGCCGCGGGGAGCCCGCCGCGGGGAGCCCGCCGCGGGGAGCCCGCCGCGGGGAGCCCGCCGCGGGGAGCCCGCCGCGGGGAGCCCGCCGCGGGGAGCCCGCCGCGGGGAGCCCGCCGCGGGGAGCCCGCCGCGGGGAGCCCGCCGCGGGGAGCCCGCCGCGGGGAGCCCGGAGCAGGTGTCTGTGGCGGCCGGAGGCGCGCGCGGGAGCGGGGTCGCCTCCGCCGCGGCTCACGGTCCGCGGTCTGCGTTTGCGCTCACCCGCTCACTGCGGAGGCCCGGGCCGTGGCGCGGGCGCCCACGCAGCAGGTGGAAAGTGAACACGGTGCAGGGCGCGGCCGGTCAGACAAAGGGCGCCGGAGGAGAACTTATGGTTTAGGGGGCGGGAGGGCTGCACAACACCGCCCCGCGGCACGGGGTGATCGGCGGCAGCCCCCGCGCTGGAGTCCCATCTCTACAGTCACCGCGGGGCTGGGCGGGGCTGGAATACAGGCGTGCGAGCTGGTGCCTCTGGGCGGCGTCCAGAAAGCTTTCTTCCTGGTCTTGGTCTCCTATGGCCCGAAGCAAACTAATGGCCCTTAAGGATCGCATTGCCCTACGGTCCTAACATTTCCCCCCTTCCTGTTTGTTGATAATTATTCTTAACGGAATGGGGCAAAGGTCTCTTCTGTCCGTGGGCCCAAGGGACTAGGCCCACTGGTGCTGTGGACAGGGGTGTCTGAATAAAAGTTACTCCACACATCAGAAACCAACCAGTTAACATTATTGTATTTAAAATAGCTTTTCTTGAGATATTAATGTTTATTGCATGTAACATATTTAAAATCGTTTTTCTTGAATTTAAAAACAAAACAAAAAAACAGATGGCAGCTTAGTATGTCCATTACTATAAGGGAGAGTGAAATTATAATCATATTGTAGTGGTTAGATACTGAAAGACAGTAACTAGGTCACCTGGGAAGTCAACCGTTAGCCACAGGGAGCTACTGCAGCATCCTTTAGAGAAAACATCCTGCATCTTGTTAACATAACATTCAAACCTGTAAGGAATTTCTGTGAGTTTATTTGGGCCAAACTGGCCACAATTGCCAGGAACTAGAGTCCCTCTTACTGGGATAAAGCTCCAGAGAAGGGCAGTTTTTCATCTATTTTTATACATCGCAATCAAAGGAGGGGACATAGGTGGGTTACATGAAATCCATTGGTGATAGATTAGGGAGGCAGGAGAAAGCAAAGGGGTGGGATGGGGGCCTCTGGGGTTGGATAAAGAGTAAAATGATAGACACCTACCTCTTTTATTCAGATGGGTGCAGGAGAGCAACAATCAGCAATTAACAGGATGACAACAATGAAGGAAGTTGTAGTCTCTGTCCTAGTGCCCAGGCACATTTTGTTATGCCCTGAAGGGTCCAGGAAAAGAGAAGTTACAAGTTACCCTGACATTTCCCAAGGATGTTATCTTATTAATAGATGCAAAAGGACAGATAGGCTGAATTAAGATAAAGATTGACCTTTATTAGGGATATTGGTCCAGGACATGTCTACCCATTATAAACTGCAATTTTAGACCATCCTTTATGGTTACTTTGGGTGTTTGAGTTTGCAAAACCGCCATACAGGCCTTCCCCGAGTTTGTCAGGTCAGCATGTGGCCTTGTTTTTCATCCACAGTCCTTTTCCCAGACAGTGGGTTCCAACACATAAAGGCCCCATATGGGATTTTATTCCCAAAATGAATAGAATAATTCTGTATGTTAGCAATAGGTGTCCCAACTCTCACTAGGCAGGATGGAAAGGTCTGTTCTCCATAGGTTTCTCCTTGAGGTGTTTCTTGGGTTCAGCCCCTCATTCTTCCCTTTCCGGCCACCTCTTCACTCTGGTGTGAAGGATCCAGGGCTTCGGAGCATTTGGAGTGTGAGAATCACGTCCCAGGGTCCCGGCCATGTTGATTGTCTTGTGATCTGCCTTTCCATGTTTTGAGTAGAATTCTGTCTCCTGCTAAGGGATGTGGAGAGAAAAAAATCTGTAGCACATGCCAAATCATTGCCCAAGGCTGAGGACACAATGTGAGTGACTTGGGAGGTAAAAGCTGGTCCTGAGGCAGCCATAGTGACCCTCGCCTGGTTTTGCTGCTTTTCTTGGCTTGGAGCTGAAATACAACTGAGGCCTAGAGAGGAAAAGGTCTCAGGGGTTTTATTTTATTTATTTATTTATTTATTTATTTATTTATTTATGTATTAAAATATATTTTATTGATTTTTTACAGAGAGGAAGAGAGAGGGATAAAAAGTCAGAAACATCGATCAGCTGCCTCCTGCACACCACCCCCTGGGGATGTGCCCGCAACCAAGGCACGTGCCCTCAACCGGAATCAAACCTGGGACCTTTCAGTCTGTAGGCCAATGCTCTATCCACTGAGCCAAACCAGTTTCAGCAGGTCTCAGGGGTTTTAAAAGAGCTGGGGTGCAAACCACAGGACCAGTGATATGCTAGGGGAGGATAGGTTACCCTGGGCGAGGTTCTTGTTTTCCCAGTTTTGCCCCTTGCTGGGAATCCGGCATCCAGGGCTTTTGGCCTTAGTGAGTTGCCATACCTAGCCCATGGTCCTTGCTCTGGGGGTCTAACAGTAGGCACTCAAGTATTTATTCACTGAAATAATTCTCCAGTTAACCTGCTCACGTATTAAAGTAACTGTGAGTGCTGATGACAATGGCCAAATATTAGTTAGATTTGGCTGTGCCAGGTACTGCATTTATATAGATTGCTGGTTCCTCAGAACAGCCTTCTGAGGTGCATAGTACTAGGATGCTTATTTTTTTTCAAATGGGAAATCGGGCATTTGAAATGAGGTAATTTGCTCAAGATCAGAAAATGAGGAAATAGCAAGACCAACATTCAAGTACATTTTGTTTGCACTTATAACTGAAAGGGCAGGGCGGGGTTAACTCCTCAGAATGAAAGGGCAGGGTGGAACTCCTGGTAACTGGACCCTAGCCCTCATCCAACCAATCAGGGTCAGCCAAAGCAGTGACATCACCAGCCCTATAAAACCCCTTGATCTGTTGAATATCGGGCTCTTCCGCCATGCCACTGTTGGTGTAAGTGGGACAGAGCCCATGCTAGCATGGAACAGGCTTTTTGCTATTGCATCAGACTCGACTCCCTAGTGGTCCTTGGGGATCAAGAAATCTGGGCAAAACAATAACTACAGTGAAGTAACAGTTTAGTTTAAACGGAATCTAGTAGTGTTATGATCTAAACTCTAGTAGTTAATTTATTGGAAAATCTTTCCTACTTCTCTTTCATCTTTTGTGGAGGGGATATACATCCCAAAACGTCTTGCATATTTAAAACTTAAACTTGCAGACAGTTCTCAAAGCTGTGGCTTGCATCCTCTATAATGTATTGTTTTATTGGAAGTGGTTACAGTGTCTAAAAAGATCTGAGGGTGCCAAAAGATAAACCTTGAAAGGAAATTGGAAAATTAGTGAGATGCTAAATCAAAAGTCAAGATAAAGTTGAGAGGTGTCTTGCAATTTTTAATAATCCTTTATGTATATGATGCTTTATCTAGAACTTGAATTTCAGAGCAGGACAGAATTAAAAGGTCAGTCCTTCCCTTTCAGTCCTGAGGAAGTGGCTCTGAAGGAGATGAAATGGCGGGCCAAACTGCACAGTTTCAGAGCTGAGCTGAGCAGGTGTCTGGGTGTCCTTATGGGAACTGTGTGTATTAACTTCATGGTATGAGCATCCTGGCATGCCGTGTCCAACTCCTGATTTGATTGTCATGATAATAGTGCAATTAGTGTGGCTGGCACTATCCCCATTTCCTCCTCCAAAAGGCACATACATTGTGTTAGTGGCAAAAGCAACTGCCTTGAAGGGAGCCTTGGAGACCGGACTTCAGTTCAGATTTTGTTCTGCTGCACGAAGGCCTTAAGTGAGTCACTCAAGTCTCTGACCTGTCTTATCAGAAAAATGCTCTGCCAACACCTTCCACAAAGAATATCTAAGGAGCAGAGATGCTGTAACACACGTGGGCCTTAGGAGGTAGCTCAGTTGATTAGAGCAGCAAGGAAAAACGCCAAGGTTGAGGTTTGATCCCCCGTCAGGGCACATGCAAGGATCAACCAATGAATGCATACATAAGTGGAACAACAAATCCATACTTCCCACTTCTCCTCTCTTTCAAATCAATAAGTAAAACAACGAGCACACTTGACACAGTGTAGGTGCTTAATAAATGGTAGCTGGTTTTGAGAAATACGTCACATCTCCCCACTTAGTCTCCTCACCTGTGAAATGGAAATAACACACCTCATAGTGTTAAGAAATTGGAACTGACGTATGAGCACTTGCCTCTCCCTGGAGGACTGTTGTAGCCCCTGACTGTTGTCAGAGGAGAGAGGGGGCAGCATGGAGGGGGAGCTGGGGAAAAGGAGCTTCAGTCCTGTAGATGGGAGAAGTCCTTGCTGTGCGCTCTCTCCCAGTGGTGCTCTGGATGGTCTTCTGCCCTGTGTACATCCCACTTTAAAATGAAAAGTACTTCCCGGTTTCAAATCCAATCCATTAAGGTCATTCTAGGTGTCTCTGAGCTAAAATCTCAGGGTACCGGGAGTGTCTGCTGAGGCAGGACAATACCCAGGTTCAGAGAGGAGGCAGTAGGATGGGATTCGGACACCTCTCGGGGAGGAGAGTCCTCTCTATCCGGCAGAGCCCGGGAGTGGGGAGCCTCAGTGTATTTGCAACCTGCTATCTGGGTTTCAGCCAGTGTTTCTGCGGTGGGAATCTGGGAAGGGGAGGATTTTCCTTCCCAAGAAATTCTGATGTTTCAAATATGCTGGCAGCAGGGCCGCCTTCCAGCGGTTTCTGCCACCTCACAGGGCA